GCCACGCCTATTGCTCCTGTTTTAAAACATAATGGTGCAATATGTTTATGCGGTGATTTTAAAATTACGCTTAACTCATACCTATCAATTCAACATTTTCCTTTGCCTAGAATAGAGTACCTTTTTCTCAATTGCAAGGTGGTGATAAGTTTTCTAAAATTGATCTTTCGGAAGCCTATCAAAAGGTTTTATTAACTGAAAATTCCAGAAAACGTGTTACTATCATAAAGGACTTTTTTCTCATACCTTATGGAATAACTAGTGCCCCGGCAATTTTTTAAAACATAATAAAGCAGATAGGAAACGTACGAATACAAAAAGAAGTGCAATGTTACACAGTGTGCTGATAGAATGTCTGAAAATGTCATGACTTGTCAAGAAAAATCTAGACATTTCGAGAAGGTTCGAAAAGGGTCAAGCAAGCAATATAAGTCGATGCTCCAAACGTCAGTTTTCAGTTTTTTATAGCCGTTATATATTAATAATATCAGTTCTGCCCTCCAATGGTAAAAAGATGTATGTGAGTTTTAGCTGTTTTGAGTAAAACGTGTTTGAATTTTATAATGCGACATTATCAATATTTAACATTCATTTGATTTGAAATGTTTACAGGCTTTTTAAAACATTATGCTGTGTTTATTTTTCTATTTTGACATCTTGTGTGCCCAGTTCATGCTTTATAATTTTGCTTGTTTTTACCATTTTTTTTAATTAATTTATTACAGAAAAAAAAAATAAAATAAAACCTTATAAAACTATACATTTATTTGCCTTTGTAATAAACTAAAAGTTTTACAATCCTTTCAAAGGCTTTTGTATTTATGCAACTTTTACGTATTTAAACCAATGCAAATCTATCAATCTCTTTAATAATTAAAAAATAAACAAATTTAATTTTGATTTAACAAATTTTACGCGAAGAGGATATGTTTTAAAACATGTAAATGTAATAACAAAAAAATATAATAAAACTATGAAACAAATATTTATACTGAAACATTTAAGTTTAAAAATAATGCCAAAGAAGGCAGCAAAGCACCTCGAGAATTTTGAGTGGATCCATATGCCACATTTTTAGGCTATTTTAAGGCTATTTTTATACCCTATTCAAAAAATTTATGCTCCTCGTTTTTTGCAAAACTCAAGGTGCTCTGCTAGTTTCGAACGAAGTCAGCAGAGCACCTCAGTTTTTTAAAGCTTTTTTCCAAAACCAACGACACTTTATTTTTAGGCTATTTTTAGGCTCTTGAAATATTATAAAACTTTACTAAAAAAGTGCTATTTTTAAATAATACAGGGTGCTTTGTTGAAGCAAAGTCAGCAGAGCACCTCGGTTTATTATTATTTTTTTCAGAAAACTAGTTATGCTACATTTTTAAGCTATTTTTAGGCTCTTAAAACAATACATAACTTTAAAAAAAATGTATTTTTTAAAGAATACAGGGTGCTTTGCTAGCTTCGAACGAATCCAGCAGATACCCTCGGTTTTTTAAAGCTATTTTCTAAAAACAACTACAGCACATTTTAGGCTATTTTTAGGCTCTTGAAATATTATAAAACTTTACTAAAAAATTGCTATTTTTAAATAATACAGGGTGCTTTGTTGGAGCAAAGTCAGCAGAGCACCTCGGTTTATTTATTTTTCAGAAAACTAGTTATACTTTTTTAAGCGATTTTTAGGCTCTTAATACAATATATCTTTTCAAAAAAAAATAATTTTTTTAAAGAATACAGAGGGTACTTTGCTAGCTTTAAACGAATCCAGCAGAGCACCTTGGTTTTTTAAAGCTATTTTCTAAAAACAACTACACCACATTTTTAGGCTATTTTTAGGCTCTTGAAATATTATAAAACTTTACCAAAAAATTTCCATTTTAAAATAATACAGGGTGCTTTATTGGAGCAAAGCGTGCTTTGCTAGCTTCGAACGAATCCAGCAGAGCACCTCGGTTTTTTAAAGCTTTTTTCTAAAAACAACTACACCACATTTTTATGCTATTTTTAGGCTCCTAAAATATTATAAAATTTTACCAAAAGATTGCCATTTTAAAATAATACAGGGTGCTTTATTGGAGCAAAGGGTGCTTCGCTAGCTTCGAACGGAATCCAGCAGAGCACCCCGGTTTTTTAAAGCCTTTTTCTAAAAACAACTACACCACATTTTTAGGCTATTTTTAGGCTATTTTTAGGCTATTTTTAGGCTATTTTTAGGCTATTTTTAGGCTCTTGAAATATTATAAAATTTACTAAAAAAAATTACATTTCTAAATAATACAGGAAGCTTTGTTGGAAAAATATGATTTTGCGCAACCTTTATTTTTGCCCAACCTCGTATAAGACTAATAAAATCATATGGTTGCTTCTTAGGTTTTTGATTATGAGCAACTTTTTATGAAGAATACATTTTTTTCCTAAAATGAATAATAAAAAAGCTTTCCATAAGCCGTCAACTGTCTACGTTAAGTTAGCGGCATATGGAAAACTTTTTTATTTAATTATTTTTGGAAAAAGTTATTTTTAATAAAAAGTTCTGCATTGTATTAAACTTAAAATACAACCACCAGATATCAAATTTTATCAGTCGTATACGAGGTTGGTCAAAAATAAAGGTTAAGCAAAATCATATTTTTTGAAAAACCTCGTATACCATTGATTCAATTTTAAAACATTGATACAATTTGAAACCATGCAAGACTTTTTAAATATCAACAAATCGACCTCTTTGATATACCGCCCATAGACGGAGATATATTTTTATTACTTAAAAGGTTATTTAATAGTTTAATTATTTATTATGTACCTATTTTTTTGCTTTCAATTTACAGATTTATAATTTTATAGTAATTTTTATATATAAAACAAGAAATTTACTGAAAAAAGGCCGTTCTCACTGATTTTTCTAACAACTTATTTAACAATAGAATTATATTAAATAGGTCATTGTTTTAGGGTTACTACTGAAGTTATTAATGTTACTTTTAGTCAATTTAGTCACGTGAGATATGAATATTATTGAAGACTCTGCGTATGAGTAGGTATTATGATATGACTGATATTTAGATTTGATTTGAACATTTACTTTGCAATTTTAATATAATCAACAGGTATGGAGTTTTTAACACGGACACTACCTTGAAATTGGTATTTACACCAATTTTGAATCAATCAATCCCAGCTAAAACAACTTATTTGTATATTGTTCATCATTGATTTCGATTATTTTTTCCGCATTGATATAATTAATCGTAGAAATTAAAATGTTTGTTAATTAAGAGTTTTTTGCAATAAGCCTATCCTAATCTTAATAAGTATTTAATACAAATTTTCTTTTAATTTGAATTACAAAATGACATTTTTGTAATCGCAGCGAGTGTCCAAATGATCTATCTACTTTGAGTTACATAAAGTTAAACATTATGTAACTGGTTATGTCATAAATATGTTCATGATTGCGAGAAGAAAATAAATAAAAGAAACCTTTTTTTGAATAATTTAAATTATTTCAAGAGCCTAAAAATGTGGTGTAGTTGTTTTTAGAAAAGCTTTAAAAAACCGAGGTGCTCTACTGGATTCGTTCGAAGCTAGCAAAGCACTATGTATTCTTTAAAAAATAATTTTTTTTTGAAAAGTGATATATTGTTTTAAGAGCCTAAAAATAGCTTAAAAACGTAGCATAACTAGTTTTCTGAAAAAAATAATAATAAACCGAGGTGCTCTGCTGACTTTGCTCCAACAAAGCACCCTCTATAATTTAAAAATAGCAATTTTTTAGTAAAGTTTTATAATATTTCAAGGGCCTAAAAATGTGGTGTAGTTGTTTTTAGAAAAACGCTTTAAAAAACCGAGGTGCTCTGCTGGATTCGTTCGAAGGTAGCAAAGCACCCTGTATTTTTTAAAAAATACATTTTTTTTTGGAAAGTTTTATAATATTTTAAGAGCCTAAAAATAGCCTAAAAATATGATGTCGTTGGTTTTGGAAAAAAGCTTTAAAAAACTGAGGTGCTCTGCTGACTTCGATCGAAGCTAGCAGAGCACCTTGATTTTTGCAAAAAACGAGGAGCATAAAATTTTTGAATAGGGTATAAAAAGAGCCTTAAAATAGCCTAAAAATGTGGCATATGTTTCAACTCAAAATTCCCGAGGTGTTTTGCTGCCTTCTTTGGCATCTGTTTGAGTCTTTGAAACGAGATAAAAGTATGTTTACTAACGGAAAATGTCTTATTATACACCGAAAAACTCGCAAAATCAAAAGTTTTTAGTTCGTACTTTGCAATACACGGTTATAAAGTTAACACCTCTTACAATGTTCAGATTTGTTCACACAACACAATAGTTAAACAGTTTTAACGAAACGTATACGAATAGGTCACTTAAAAGTTTATAAACTAAAGTCAGAATTTACAGATTAAAACAAAAGTCTCCTAACCTGTTTTGAGAAATATCCCGGTTGAGTCCCCAAAATTATGTGGGATGTGTATCTCGGACAGGTAGGTTAGTTATTAAAACACTAATTAATTAACTGAATTTACTAAAAATAAGAACAAGTAATATACACGTCGTTATTATAATGATATAAATCGTCGTTATAAAATAATTTAAATATCGTAATATTCACAGTAATTCACACGTCGTTCGTCGTTATGGCCTAATTGAATAATTGCCAGTGTACCGGCTTCCGGCAGGTCAAAGGTAGGTCAAGCGACAGGTGATAGAGGGGGAGGCGGGAGACGTTGTTGTTGAAGACGTTTACGGGTCATTGGCGGCGTGTATGCCAGTGGCGTCCCACAATAGTATAGCAAAATTTCCAAATACCGCCCCCAATAAAGTACAGAAGTATATAAAGCAACTAAGTTACCTATGGATTTTAGTAGTGTCAGTATACTCGTATCAATTTATCTGTAGGCATAAACTGATATTACTTCTCGCGCTCTTAAATAATATTTAATCTGACGTCAACAATCCTTGCACCAGGAAATTATCTGAAATTTGAGGAAACTTACCCATGAAAGCAGCTGGAATAGATGTCAGAAATAATTTTTGACTCCTAACAGGTACGCCCCCATGTTCCGTGTCCTGCATTTCTCGAACCAGCCCTTCCATCTGTAAAAAAATTCATCCTTAATAATATTAAATTCTAAGTAATCATAATATTGACAATTTTTAATTAATCATCATTATCATCTGCTTTTTAATATTATAGTTTTTATATTATTCTAGACAACATTCCTAAATCTAAAATAAATATCTTTTTTTATTATAATTTGACATGTTTGTCAACCTTTTTTTTATTAAAATTAATACAAGAAAATTGAAGATATGCACAGATTATAAAAATTAGGTAAGATACCAACGAATATTTCGTTTGGCCCATGTATTCAAAATAGCTGTTATTTAAATTTCATACATTCTTTAATTGAAACATATAATTTCCAAGACCGGCCCAGTTTTTTACCAACTACCTGCGCTCAAAGCAAACACATTTAAAATTCGAGAGACGCTAAAATGGTGGTTCCCACCTAATCGAGACTGAGGCCCACAAGGGTAAACTTGTAGCGTAACAAAAACGAGAAATGATTTAACTTGGAACGAAATACCGAAAGCCGATAGTAGTATTAGCACGTTGAATTTTTTGGTTTGTGAAGCATTGGCATTACTTAGGTTAAACCATGTGATGATTTTCACAAGCCATGATTTTTAAAACCATTCTATATCGCCTTTTAATTAGGGTTTAAAAACTTGTTCGAGCAATTATTTATCTAATAATAATTGGCCCCTTTACCTCTTAGCCTGCTCATGTAAAATATTTGGGCTTCTTACTTCGCCTATTTATATTCTATTAATAAAGGACAGAAGGATGAGTATTGCAACTATGTTAAAAGAAATAAATTGGCTTTCAGTTCAGAATTATGTTCAGTAAATGACTGATATTTCGAGGGTTCAGAGCCAAAACCCGATAAGTCGGCAAAATTGGAAAATTAACTTTTATATACCATCGAATACAGTTTGTTGTGCTCTATCTGTCAATATACTCCGTTTTGTTAAATTCCATCTCTAAGTAATGTTAACCGGTATTCCAAAAACCGATAAATGAATAAAGAACAATTTTTGTTCGGGCAAGCATCCTACAAACCAACTTTGTTCCTGTATTAGCCGTAGATCACAGTTAACTGTTCTGGGCATAAACAGATAAATCGGTATCGCTGACTTTTCTAATACCTAATTTTAACTTAAAGTTGAGATATTTGACTCTCGCCTAAATGAAAATGAAGAAAGACATATAAAAAATATAAATAACACAACTTATTTGATTTTGACTTGTAATAATAAAATCTATATTGCACTTATTGTATTATTCCTTTTAAATAAATGAATCTGAAACGATGTTAGATGATTTTATATTCCAGAATCAGAAATTATTTTACATTTTGATGAAAGCAAAAATCCGATAAGTCTTAATTGTGCGTATGCGCTATTAGCATTCGAGTTAGTTTAGTCATGTTCAGTGGTTCAAATTTCTTTGAAGGTGACAGACGCTCTGCCAAAATGAGTGCGAGATCGCAGAGAATGGTAGCTTTAGCTAGTATACCCCTGTTAGAAATATATACAAGTCCTGAAACATTATCTATGGTAAAACAGCATATAGAATCCTTTCCTGTAATGGAATCCCATTATGCAAGGAAAGATGCAAAAAAACAATACTTAGAGAGCAACTTATCTATAAAGAAAATGTACCTCTCTTACAAAGAAATATGTGAGATAAAGCAGACCAAACCGGTTTCCGAATACTGTTATAGAGCTGTATTCTGTGAAGATTATAACCTTAGTTTTTTAAACCCAAAAAGGACCAATGTCCAATTTGCGTAAATTATTTCAAAGCCGATGTGGAGAGAAAGTCCAGTCTAGAGTCGGAGTATTTACAGCATCAAAAGAGAAATAAGGATTTTTTAGACGCCAAAGAAGAAGACAAAAATCGTGCAAATTCCGAAAAAGAATTTTTGTCCGTTACATTAGATTTGCAAGCGGTTTTACAGATTCCAAATGGCCAGGTAAGCCAGCTATATTATTCTAGAAAATTGGTAATGCATAATCTAGTTATATATGAATCCGCGTTGCCTAATAATGCGTATTGCATGTGTTGGAGCGAAGTAAGTGGAAAAAATGGGAGTTGCGAGATTGGAAGTTGCATATATTACTACTTAAAGGAGTGTGTCCCAAAATAGGTACGTCACGTTACGTTATTTTCAGACACATGTGGCGGTCAAAACCGAAATCAGTACGTTACTGCAATGCTTCTTTGGGCAGTTCAGAAAATAGAACATATTGATGTCATAGAACAGAAGTTTCTAGAGAGCGGCCATTCTTATATGGAATGCGACAGTGTACATTCGGCGATAGAAGCAGCTAGTAAACACTCTTCCATTTATTCCGTAAACGAGTAGAAAAAGATTTTTCAACGAGTTCCCACACAGAAAATAAAAAATATCAATGACGTTAAACATACAGTACTGCCATATAGAGCAAAGGAATTTAAATATTTCGAAATACTTGATCTTAAATCATTAGCAGTCAAATTAATTAAAAACAGAACACGAGATGACAACAATCTAACTGTAAACTGGTTGAAAATAAAAAGGCTGAAATATCTTAAAGACCAACCAAATAAAATTTATTATAATTATGACATGTCCACTAATTTTCAACACCAATCAAAATTTCGAGGATTCACCGTCAACTAGAACCAGAAAACAATGAAAAAAAAATAAATAAATAAATAACTTTGAGTTTCCAAGTGAAATACCATTTTTATATGACTCGCAGTTGCCAATAAGTAACGCAAAAAAAAGATCTGTTAAATTTCTGCCGAAAAGAAATAATTCCTGAAGAGCTTCATGAGTGGTTCAACAAGTTAAAATCATCAGCTGATGTTGTAGATCGTACACCGGACCTAGACGTCAACGATGAGCCCGAATCAGAAGAAGAATCTTAAATTTTATATTATTTAGCAAATGTATTTTAATTTCTTTAGTATCTTTTTCCTTGTTTTAGTTAGGTTTTATAAGTTAAGTAATTTTTAGCTTATTTCATTTGTTATTTTACCTAAATAAATTTTTTAACCAGTGTGTTTTTTAATTGTGAAGGGAATTACTTAGAAAAAATATTTGGAACTTAATTTTTTTAAACTACGTAAGTTGGATACAAACGATAACTACTCGCTTTTACGTTTTTTCAGACTTTTTATTATATTAATTAGTACATGATAATAACTTATCTGATCATTCCGTGAAATTATCTAATAATTAGTAGAGCGAGAACCCGATAAGTCGGTGCCTAAATGTCTTAATTTTGGTAAAACTAAAGCAAATCTGAATTTAGAAAAAAAAAATGAAAGTAATCCGTTTAATCGATATAATATTTACAACAAATTGATTGAGGTAAACTATCAAAAGCATTTAATATGAAATTAAAAGAAGGGGCAAAAGATTAATAAAATCTTTAAACAACGATATCTTCATAAAAAAATTTTCTTACTTATCGGGTTTTCGCTCTGAACCCTCGATTTATTTATAAAATGGACGAAATAGTAGTACGCTTAATAGCTCACCATAAAAAATAATTTTAAAGAAACTGCTTATATATTTTTCATAAATTGGCTGGCTTGGCGACTAATTTCGAATGAAAATAGCCTCCAAAATGGCTATATGGTTGCAAGTATGAAGGTCGCAACCCGCCTTAGAAATTTTACCTTTACTATCAACAGCTGTTGTTTGACAGATCGTTAGAGAATGTTTGCAATTTATGGCTCGGAGCAATTCATGATTACTACTAGAGGGAGTCTTCCCCCCTTCCCCGCGCTAAATTTTGTTAGCAACATCTACTTCCCCCGAGGGGGAAAATACCTCTTCTGTAATTGGCTTATTTAATCAGTGTTGCCAAGTTTGACAGCGCCAGTTCTGACACTTTCTGACACATGTCAATTTCTTATTTGTATTTTACGGAAAATATTATTATTTATAACGTTGTAAGGGTTGTAAATGTATATTTAAGATTTATTATCTGTAATAATATGGTGAAAACATGCTTTATGTGTAAAAGGCCTGTTAAAAATGCTTCTTCAAGATAATATCATAAGTAAGTACAGACACAACCTAATTATCAGAGGCGGTGCATTAGGCAATTACCTTTAATTTGCAATTAAACTTTCTTATTTTCTTATCGAAAAATTAAAATTAAGAGCAATAAACTCCAGCTAAGTTCGTCTTCACCCGTCTCATAATGATTATAGTAAAGGTTAATTACCTATTATTATTTTAATATCACATCTTTGTAAAGTTTATTGTTATTTTTTTTAGGTTTCCTTTTCTTAATATGAGAAAGAAATACATGGTTCTAAAATATAGGAATCCAACAAGTGACTACCTGAATAACTTTTTATGCTAATGAAAATTTTTATTACAGACCTCAGGGGAGGAAAATATTAAAGAAAAATGCAATTTCGACGAAAGAAGTATAATAATCAATCCTGTCACTACTTCTACACTATATTCACCTGCTACTAAAATACTAAAACAGCAAGTAGATAAACTTAAGTTTCTTTTAAAAAGAATGTTTAAGGAAAAAGGCATAGCCATTTTTTTGTTGACACTTTTTTTTAACTAATCTAAAAGACAAATTTTGTGTATTTTGTTTAAATTTTCATTTTTTGTACTTAATTTGTTTTAGGTTTAAACAAAATAAACTTCTAAGATATGCATGGAATATCCCAAAAGAGCTAAGGAAGGTTTTAAAATTCTTAAGAAAACTATTCAGAGCCAAAAACATAAAATAGTCTTCCTGTCCAAAATATAAATAGGTATAAATATTTAGATATTATGAGTGATTTTTTATTCTATAAATAAAACATAATTTGCTTCTAAATCACTACCTAATGAACTGTATTATATAGTACATTATTCATGTTTTTTTTAATTTCCTTAAAAAACATCCCAAAAAAATGTGAATATTTATTATTGGAGTTTACATGCTAAAACAATACTAGAACAACTTAAATAATGTGGATTTTGACTATTTTGAGTTATGCAGATCATTATGATCTAAAAAAA